GGGTTGATAATCACGACACGGAGGAGTGCTTTACCTTGAAACGCGAGATTGAAAGACTGATCCAAAGGGGCCATCTGAGTAACTTCGTCAAAGGGGCGGCACAGCAGCCCAACCATGTATGGCGGAAATCATCAGAACAAGTGGCATGCACGCAGCCAGAGACCCGAAGGGCAGAGAAAAGACACATTGGAAATGAGAGTGACGAGGATGCCTCGGATGAGCCAGGGCCGAAGCGAGACAAGAGGAACCATGACATCAATTTCATTTATGGAGGTAATGCAGGCGGGGACTCTTCGTCCCTTCGAAAGAAATGGGCTCGTCAACTGTACATTGGTGAGATCATGCACTCTCCAATGAAAAAGAAGGTACGACGTGAACCTATATGCTTTACTGATGATGACCTACCACCATGTCCAAGCCCACATCGGGATGCCATGGTTATCAAAATGGAGATCAATGATCTTGTCATACACCGTACCCTGGTCGACACTGGAAGTTCCGTTAACATAATGTACCTCGACACTTTCGAGAAACTGAAGTTGTCCAAAGGAAAACTCCATCCGATAAAAACCCCGTTATCTGGGTTCACGGGTGACTCTATCGAGGCAGAGGGAGTTGTCACGGTCCCGGTGGAGGTGGGGGACACGTCCCATAAAGTGAAACTCAACATGGAGTTCGTAGTTGTCCGACTGACATGTGCACATAATCTTATACTCGGACGGCCAGGCCTGGAAGATTTGCAGTGCATTGTGTCCCCGACACATCTTTGTATTAAGTTCCCAACACCAACCGGAGTGGGGATAGCACGCGGGAGCCAGAAGCTCGCCCGAACATGTTACATAAAAATCACAAAGAAGGTGGGGCGGCATGGCCTCCAGGTAAACACTGTGGCCACACAATACCTACAAGATGAAGAGCGAAGACCCCGTGCTGAACCAGCAGAAGGGACAGAAGAGGTCACCCTTGACCCTGCAACCCCAGAGCGCAAGGTTAAGATAGGCACCGGATTGTCAGCTGAGCTCCGCGCTGAGGTCATAACCGTCCTGACTATGTACCAAGGCATATTTGCAAGAGGACCAGATGACATGCCGGGCATCAGTAGAGATGTCATCTCTCATCGCCTAGATGTGGACACTATGTCAAAACCGGTGAAACAAAAGAAACGTTACATGTCCTCGGACAGGCGGGAATTCGTAAGGAAAGAAGTGGGCACCTTGTTAAAAATCGGCCACATCAAGGAGGTGAAATACCCAGAATGGTTGGCAAATGTGGTATTGGCACCTAAACCCCCAACGTGGAGGATGTGTGTGGATTACACTGACCTAAACAAGGCATGCCCGATGGATCCATTCCCATTGCCTAACATCGACCAATTGGTGGACGAGACAGCGGGGTGTGAATTGATGAGTTTCATGGATGCTTTCAGTGGATACCACCAAATTCGCATGCATGAGGAGGATGCAGAGAAGACCTCATTCATGACTCCAGAGGGTGTTTTCTGTTACTTAGTCATGGCGTTTGGACTGAAAAACTCTGGGGCAACGTACACTCGCATGATCTCTAAACTTTTTCGACCTGTCCTAGGTCTCACCATGGAGGCCTACGTGGATGATATGATTGTGAAGAGTAAAAGAGCAGGTACGCATGCCGTGGATTTGGCAGAAGTGTTCAAAATCATGGAGAGGTTCAATCTTCGTCTCAATCCAAAGAAGTGCACGTTCGCCGTCCAAGGAGGGAAGTTCCTGGGTTACTTGGTGAGTAGGAGAGGAATCGAGCCAAATCCAGAGAAAGTCAAGGCCATACTCGAAATGGAACCTCCTCGTAATGTCAAAGAAGTGCAGCGATTGACGGGACGCTTAGCGGCTTTGAACCGCTTCTTATCAAAACTAGCAGAGAAAGCCACGCCATTCTTCAACATCATGAAGAAATCAAAGGGTTTCGTATGGACTGAGGAGTGCCAAAAGTCATTCGAGGGATTGAAAAACTACCTCTTGTCTCCTCCTGTCTTGTCCAAACCCGAGGCGGGGGAGACATTATACCTATACCTAGGGGTTTCACCAAGTGCAATTAGTTCTGTCCTGGTGCGTGAAGATGGTGGCGTCCAGAGACCCGTTTACTACGTAAGCAAAACTTTGAGGGACGCTGAGCTACGGTACACAACCATAGAAAAAACTGTTCTATCCGTGGTGTGGACGGTCAAACGGCTCACACAATACTTCCAAGCTCACCCTGTCCATGTACTGTCACACCAACCCCTGGGTGCCTTAATGAGGAGTCCCACGGCTTCCTCGAGGATGGTCAAATGGGCAGTGTATCTAAGTCAATTTCATATAGAGGTGAAGCCAAGACCTTCCGTCAAGGGGCAAGCTCTTGCAGATTTCATAGTAGAATGCACGGCGCGGGAGGAAGCAACGAAGATGAAGCACGGCGACGATGAACAAAAGTGGTGGATACTGTCCACGGATGGCTCCTCCGCGGCCAAATCTTGCGGGGGAGGGGTGGTCCTCACCACGCCCGAAGGCTTCAGGGCCTATTACGCTATCCGGTTCAACTTCAAGGTGTCGAATAATGAGGCGGAGTACGAGGCTCTACTATGTGGTCTCCGCTTGGCGGCAAACATGAGGGCAGAGAAGGTCAAGATACGGTGTGATTCAAAACTAGTGGTTGGACAGATCACGACTGAGTTTGAGGCGAAGGAAGAACGGATGCGGCTATATCGTGACGCTGCCCTGGAACTTCTGAAATTGTTCATCGCCTATGAAATTGAACAGATACCAAGAGCGCAAAATGTCGAAGCAGACATGTTATCCAAATTAAGTGCAGAGACACCGGAAAGGATTTCAAAGATTGCAAGGATAGAAGAGTTGGACACTTCCAACATATATGCGTGCCCCGTCCAGGCCATAACCACGAGGGACGCAGACTGGATTGACTGCCTCATCAAGTATATCAACGAGGGAGTGCTGCCCGCGGAGGAGGTTGAGGCCAAGGTGACTAAGATGAGGGCACCGAGTTATACCATTTTGAATGAGAAACTGTACAAGAGGTCTTACAATGGCACGCTTCTCAAATGCTTACGACCAGATGAGGCCAAGGTCGCCATGGAAGAGATACATGCAGGGATATGTTCAGCTCACCAAGGAGCGCACACCATGTCCCGAAAGGTAATCCTACAAGGTTTCTTCTGGCCAACCATAGTTAAGGATTGCGCTGAATTTGTCAAGAGGTGTGTGGTGTGTCAAGAGTTCCAGAAATCTCCGGGACGTCCAGCCACCAACTACACCCCCATCAGCACGGCTATACCTTTCGCAAGGTGGGGAATAGATCTCATTGGTGCCTTACCAAGGGGAACAGGGAGCGTGAGATGGGTTATCGTTGCCATAGACTATTTTACTAAATGGATAGAAGCAGTACCCCTAGCTAGCATCACTGAAGGGCAATGCAGAAAATTTGTCATGAAGCACATCCTTTGTCGCTTTGGAGTACCCCAACAGATCATAACCGATAATGGGAGGCAATTCGGAGCATCCGGGTTTAACGAATTCTGTGAGAGTTGGGGGATCAAACACAGCAATGCGTCAGTTGCCTATCCCCAAGCGAATGGCCAAGTGGAGAATGCAAACCGCACGATCATGGACGGTTTGAAGAAAAAACTAGAAGTTGCCGGAGGGGAGTGGGCTGAAGAACTACCACAGATACTCTGGGCATACAGGACCACACCAAGAAAGGCCACAGGGGAGACACCATTCGCCTTGACATATGGTTTCGAGGCGAGGGCACCTGCGGAAGTAATTCTCCATAGCCGCCGAGAAGAGGAATATGACCCCGAGACGAACGAGGAGGTCATGGCGACCGAGCTTCTTTTTATTGAAGAAAGAAGAGAAGCGGCTTTCTGCCGTGCGGAGAACTATAGAAGGCAGGTGAAGGGATACCATGATTCTCGAGTTCGCAAACGCAACTTTGAAGTTGGGGACTATGTCTTGAGAAAAAGGGAGGTCAGCAAACCCTTGGAAGGGGGGAAATTTGCCAAAAATTATGAAGGCCCTTACGTGATTAAATCAGTGATCCGGCCAGGGACGTTCAAACTCCAGACGCCGAAGGGAAAAGAAATTGAGAGGACTTGGAACGCAGAACACTTGCTCAAGTTTTACCATTGAAAATTTATCATTGATACTCCACCTGATGATTATAATGTATGGTAACCACGTATGGTGGTAAACGCGGTCCTTTTCCATCCACTGTTTTCAAATAAGAGATCTCCTTGATCCACACAAGAGTGAATAATGGCAGTCCCTGGCCGCAAAAAAAAAAAAAAAAAAAAAAATGGTGTCGTTCAAAGACATTGTGGGTGTCAAACTCACCCAAAACAAAAGCAGATTACAAGGTGTCATCCAAGGACACCGTGGGTGTAAAACTCACCCAAAACAAAAAAAAAACAAAAAAAAAATGAAATAAAAAACTAGTAAGTAGCCAGGCATGTCTCCTATGACATAGCTGAGATTCTCAACACGCAAGGGGTATAGACTCGCCCCTAGAAAGGGGACGAGGATACATCGCAACTCGATCCCAACAAATGCGTAACCCTCAGGGTTGTATGGTCAGGATGCATCTGTGAAATATATCGGATAGCGGCCATGTTTCCCAAAAAACGTTGTGTGCCCCAGAGCAAGCCTAAGTCACTCAGGTGTTAGGTTCGCTCACTTAGTCCTATTTTTTGGGAATAAGTGATGCGCGCAATGTAGCGAAGGAGGAGGTGTCAACGACACCTTGTGCCTATCGTTGTCCTCAGTCACTCTATCTAAATGCACAATGCCTCAATTGAAAATTAGGCAGATACGGGGCGATAAATGCACCAAAGTTATACACTTGGTGTAGTATCACCGTATACTACTATAAGTGATCATGCAAACCGTGCCAAACGAGGCATGGTCGCAGTGTGATCTCATAAAATCAAAATATTAGTCAAATAAGTAATTATGCGATAATACTAAACAATAACGAAAGGAAAATAAGACATGCATCATTATTATTTTATGAAATTCAAAACATGTTTAGCAATTCGGGTACTCGTAATTGAAGACATGACAGAATTAAAGTCTACACTACGTCCATCCGTCACTCCCATGCATGCTCTAAGGCACAGAAGCAGTCGAAGCTGGGTGATCTGTCTCGGAAGGAAGATCGCCAAGCTCCTCATCAGTGGGGAGTCTGTCAAAAGGAATATAGTCCAGGGGCGTGTTGGCTACCGGGATCTCAGGGTTGGGAACCTCAGGAGGAAGTCCCCAATCAGTGATGCAAGAGGTACCAGCCTTATCCCTCAAGATAGGATATATTTTCTGTTGAGTGGCATATATCCCGATCTGGTAGGAGATGTAGCTCTCTAAGGCCAGTTTCTCACGACCTTCCGGAGTAGACAACCAATCCTTGCTAATATCGTTCAAGTGGGCATTAATGTATGCTTCCTGATCAGACACGAACTCTGGAGAATTCTTGTATGCATCCACGGCCCGCCCCCTTGCATTGGCCAACTCCACGGCGTGCATTTCTTTAAGCGCAGTGACCTCGGCTGCATGTGAGTCACGCACGAGCTTGAGCGATGCCACCTCCTTCGCTAATTCGGTGAGTTGTAGCGACAAATCTTTCTCGCGCTCATCTTTCCTTCGGTTCACCTCGGAGATGGACAACAGTAGCTACAAAAAAGAAAAAAAAAATTAGTATCACGAGATGCATAAATAAAAGGTAACGGGGAAATGGGAGGGTTACCTCGGCCAGGCCATGGTGACTCCTCTTCTCTAAAGCAGCATGGTCAAGTGTTGAAATTTTCTCCTTCTCAGTCGCCGTGATCACCTGTGATAAGAGCGGAGGTAACTCAAGGTTACCTTGTAACCAAGTAGTCATCCCCGCCGTGGAAATATCACTCATGCTACGGGTGACGCGGGCTGCGGGGCTAGCGGCCCTGCGTTTTGCAATGGATGAAGGCACAGTTACAATGGCATCCTTGCCTTTTGTGACGGAGGGAATCCTTGGTTTCTTGTCAGAGCGCCCCTGGTCACTACCGCGAGGCCCATCCTGGTCGAAGCTTTGGAACATCTCCAACCGCGATGTCATATCTGCAAAAAAAGAGGGGGTATGCATATGTGTTAGTTAATATATATATGCGTGTAGTATCTCCTATAGACAAAGTAACTGTGGACAACCTTGATCCGTGGACGTGGATGCGTGTGCACCCGAACATGGTGACGGCGAATAGAGTCTAACCGTGGTTAGGCGGTCCTCGGAAGTAAAGGCAGAGAGGCTATACGGTCCTCCAGAAAGAATCATAGCCGGCCATGTCTCCTGGTCAACTGGAAGTTTCGGGTACGAATACTTCTTAAATCGACAATTCAAAGACGATGAAAAAGGTAACGGAGATCCAGACGACACATAGACAAATTCTTCTTTCCAATTGGCTTCGTTGCTACGAGTGACCTTCCACATGTCAAAGTGGTTGCGCTGAGAGATAGACACCCAGGACAGACTATCAGATGCCGAGCACTGCCCAGCTCGGAACATGTGCTTGAAGAGGTCTAGGGACGGTTCAATCCCAAGTGTCTCACACCGGACCAGGAAAGCTACCAGATACTGATGACCGAGCGGAGTCAAGTGACAAGGTGAAATTTCAAGATCATTTAAAAACTCGATAATCAGAGGGTGTGTGGGAAAGCGGAATCCTAATTTTATGGAAAGAATATGCACCCCGAAAAAGTGACCCTTAGGAGGATCGGTTACAATATCCTCCGAATCGGGACATCGGACAGTCACTGTGGACGGAAAAAATTTCTTATACTTTTCAAACTTGGAAACTGAGAGGCGCGACCTGTAGTGTAAGATGGGGCTCGGGTCTAAGGGTGGATACGGACCACGGTAGCGACGTTTTGGTGGTTTGACTAAAGCGGCTCGTGGCTTTATGGGACTAATTTCTTCAACATCAGAATTAACATCTGCCCAGGGATGAGGAAAATTCTCCAGCACTAATTCATTGTCATCACTCAACAATTCATCAGAGTTTATGGAATCTAATATATCCATAAATGGTGGCAGCTATTCAAATAAAAATGAAAAGGATGTCACTACAATTGGCAACAAAGGAGCTACGAAGTACGAACTACGAAGTATGTTTCAAAGCCAAAATTAATACGGAGAAGCTTCAAAAGGGAAAAGTCAAAATAACAAATAAAAGGAAAGAGGGAGAATGCAGGGAGCGTACCTCTGTGCGTACCTTAGCAGCAACGGCGGAAAATTCAGGACAACGACAGAGGAACCCAGTGCAGAACAACGACGCCGCAGGAAGTAGACGACGACGGCGTAAAATTCCTTGATGTCACTGGAGTTCGCTGGTGTCTGACGACGGAGGACTGATGGCGGCGACCGGGATAGGGCGCAGCAGAAAAACGGACCGCAACCTGGGGCGGGGATAACCGACGACACTGCTGGTTCAGCTGCAAGATCTGGCGTCCGGCGCTACCGGGTCCACGCTGGTGAAGTTGAGGTGTTCGGTTTACTCGCGGCAGCCGTCGGAGGCAGAAAAGGACGGTAGCAGACTGGAACTCTGAGTGGGCTTGCTGGTGGCGCGGATGGACGCCGGCGAGCGGCGGACGGCGCTGGCCTGGTTGCCAGCGAGCTGCGACCTGGGCGGTACAAGAATGGCGGTGGCCGGTGGCTGACCCTCACCCAACCAAGCTGCCAGGAAGAAAGTAAAGTTGGGAATATAAATTTTGATTAAAAGATAAAATGTTAAATGATTGAACAAGTAAAAAGACAAAAATATTGGCATGGTAACCATGTACACTTCAGATTGACATGGCAACCATGTATCTACAATCCTTATCGCCAATATACTATTCGGCTATGGTGACCATGTACATTCAATATTGACACAGCAACCATGTCTCTGTACTCCCTATAGCCGATATACTATTCGGCTTAGGAAGTGGGGGGCTTGTGATGGTATAATTATCCCAACCATGGATAAATATTGATCGGATTAACATGGATGAAAGTGAGTTAGAGGTTGATGTGCACGGTAACTATGTACGAATGATGATAAGGTATAAGAAGAGCTCGTACGTGGTGACCATGGGCGGGTTAGGAGATAAAAGACTGTACATGACGACTGTGGACAAGAGTTAGTAGAAGAATAGGGAGTACGAAGTAACCATGGATATCATGGTAAGCTTATCCAAAGAGCACGTCCATAGCAACCATGGACGCAAGTAGAAGACCAGAGTGCACTATAGCCTTGGATGCCATGGCGAGCTTATATAAAGAAATGTCCACAGTAACCCTGGACATAGTAGTAGAAGCTTGTGTAAACAATCTATACATGGTGTCTCTGGACATCATGGCAAAAGCTACATGGCGACTCCGTACGACAAACTACATCAACGACGTCTTTTCAAGATATTCACACAATCAACAAAAGGATTCCGCGGATCCGGATTACTGATTTGCATATCAAATCGAACATGGCGACCACGTCGCCCAAATCTTTTATGTCTCATTTTCTACTATAAAATCATGTAATCCTTGGAATGTTGATCAAGCTGAAGACACTGAATACACTACAAACATTTATCTCTCTAAAGATTATCCTGAGCACTTTAACTATTTTCGGCTATCTCTTATTAATTATTTTCCGGTGGATTTACTTCCATCACTTACGGTTTGAATTATTATCTTTGATTGAGAGATTAAAATAAATATCTTAAAGGATCTTTAAGTGCTAAGAGCATCCTCATTCATGATCTCAAATAATCAATTTTTTCTATCATTCTTACCATTTAAATATTATTATGTAATTAATTTTAAAATAATCTCAAAATTCGTTTATGCCTCTCAATCATCATCTTCAAATAATATGATTTTTCTCTGTCCTGCATTAATCTCTATTACACATACTTTTCAAATAATTTTAGAATAATCCGGATTCATATTTTGATCCCAGATTATTGTAGCAAATAATCTCATTAAATAATCTATGTAACTCAATGATAATTTTCTAAAAAAACTGTCATGTCATCCACTTAATCTTATAATAATCCTACCAATGAGGATGCTCTAATGCATGATTGCATGTTGACCGTGCATGTCTATTTTTAAGTAAATAATTTATTACTTTTGGAAAGACTACTTGACTAAATTATATATGGTTTGGTGATAAGTGAATTAACGTAACTATCTTTCTTTATACGGATATTGCTTGTGAATTTATAGTTGTGATATTTTAAATATCTTTATTTGGCTGCCTTATATATTGAGCTTGACTATGGGAAATATTGTGAAAGGAAAGCAATTCAAAATATCAAGGCAAGTCGCAAGATTAGAGGATCAACTATTCAAGGAAGGATGCTCAAACGGTCAGTCCAAGACTGCCTATATAAACGAAGCAGCCAAAGAGAAATAAAGAGGAGCTTGACCGAGACAAATCTTAAGAGACATATTCACAAAAGCAATATCAAAGTCCAAGGCGTCTGAAATTGCTCACTCGGAGTTCTAGATATAGTTTCTTCTTTCCCTTCTTCATATTGTAATGGGGTTTTGAGGATTGGCTAAGTGTAGCATCCTCGGGTTGGATTAAGTGTTGTGAGAGCTTTGTTGTAAAGCTGAGAGGCTCTTTACCCGCAAGGTAGAGAAGCGTAACTCTTCCTAGAGAGGATAGAGTTGGGGTGGACTAGGAGAGTTTCCCTTGTAATCATTCTAAGGCTTTTTAGTGAAGTTGTCAAAATTCCTCCGAGGAAGGTCGAGGTTTTTTAATCCCTGTGAGCCAAGGGATTTTTCCTCGTTAAATCCTTGTGCGCTTTACTATTTCGCATATCCCTTTACCCCACACTAGAACTTGGCGAAAAACTGCCACGTTTCCACACACACAATTCGGTCTCGACTCATATTTTGTTTTATTTTTTATTTTTAGGCTTCGAACCGGCCAAAAAGTTAAAAAAAAAACATGAACCGAGTTCGGTGTTGGGACCAAACTTACCAGGTAGCTGGAACTAAGCGAGTCAAATCCGCTTTCCAGATTTTTTTCAGGACCAGACGGTCTCGGCTCGAAATCGGGAACTGACCACCTCTAACTGGAATTATTCCGCAAACTGAGGATACGACTAATTGGGCAAAAATTATGCGCACGGTCTCGTCTTATAAATCAACAATCGACTATACCCAAGTTGCCATGTCTATTGTTCATAAATATACTCCCTCTGTCCCCCTAATATTGGGACGGAAGAGAGTGATGTGGTTTTTAAGAAAATTAGAATTATGTGGTTAATGATGAGTTGATAAAATGAGAATAAAGTAAAAATGATTTAGAACCACACAAATGTTACCAAATATAGTATGAGACAATAATAAAGGGACATCCAAAAATGGAAAAATGAGATAATTATAGGAGGGCGGAGGGGGTACATCTATTTTTGTTGTTGTACTAGACAATGTACCTGTGCGATGCACGAGAATATCTAGAGTAAAATAGTACTCCAAAGGTTATTTACAATTATTATTTTAATATATATAGAAGAAATAATAATATCCTACAATGTTATAACTTTGGTTATATAATGTTAGTTACTTAGTTTAGGCAAAATGAATAAGTAAGTCGTATGAAGAATTGCAAGTAAAATTAACAAAAATACATGTAAGAATAAATTGCATGACAATGAAAAGATCATGATACAATGTAGAGTGTTTATTTTGTTAATCATCGCTAAGTTTTGTAAAATAGGACAAATCTTGTTTGGTGTACGTGCATAAATATTATCATAAGTTTGTAAACTTTTCTTATAGTTTACATTATTAGTGGCCATCGCTGCACAACTCTCATCATTGCATATAAGAAGTTTTTATTTTCTTCTTAATCAGGTGATCTTGGACATGGAAAATTACATTAGGTTTTGCGTAAGAAAACAAATATTGTAAGATATATGTCCATTTCATTCAAAAAAAAAAATAGATATTTAATTAAACTTGAAACTATTGAAATATGAATTAGAAGCTTATTAAAGGGGTGTTTGGTAAAAGACGTTTCGCCTGAAAAATGACGGTTTGACCACTTTTAGCATTTTTTAAAAGTGAAAAAACTGTTTAGTCAATAGTTGTTCGGCATTAGTATTTTCGGACGGGAACGCTGAAATGAAAATGTTAATTGCTAATACCAAACATATTAGCGTTTTTGCCAAACAGCTAAATTATAAAACATTTTCTGAAAATACGCCAATTTATTCCGCTAGTCAAACCCACTGACTGAATTCGCTATTGACAACCCGCTAACATAACCCGCTATCCGCTATGTCATTAACCGCTGAATGTCAAACACGCCTTAAATGTGGTAAAAAATATTTTTGATAACATGTCTTTACCTTTCAAAAATTCCCCACAAAACGTAAAGTCACTTATAAAATTATAAAATTTGGAATTAAAAAAATCATGTGTTTCAGGTCTTAAAGTTTTCTTTGATAAAATGAGGTCACACAAACAAAGCCTTATGAAAAAATCAATGTTTTTCAAGAGCGTACCTATATAATTTGGGTCCAGGACCGGATCAGATTGGATTAAACCAGGCTTCAAAGGTCTAGACCGGTATTAGACCGGTTTTTGATTATTAATTAAAAAATAACATTTTGAATAAAAAAAATAAACAGTGATGCCTATTAATTTATTTAAACTTAAATCTTTCTCGAACAAATATTCAAAGAAAACTAAATCTAAATTAGTTCTTAATATTTGTTACATAATTATACATTTTAGATAAAATATACGGAGTATATTTAAAAAATAATAATTAATTAAGGTCCAACTGGTCCGAACTTAAATATTTCAGGTTTAGACCAAACCGGAACCAAAAAATTAAAAAAACTTGGACCAAATATCAGACCAATATGTAAGTACCGATCCAGATCCAGTCTGGACCGACCGGCCCGGTTCAGAGTGATTTTCCGGTCTGGACCGAAATATGCTCACCCCTAATTGCATGTAGCAATTAGCTAGCCAATTAATGCAACTTCTACTTACCATATATATGTACATATATGTAGTAATGGACGGCCAAAATTACATTTTAATGTGACATCGTAAGTTACACATGCTACTTTACACGTTTGTTTTACACGTATAATATAATTAAAGATAAAGTTTTTTGAAAGATTATTTTATGATTAGTTACTTCGATTGACTATGATGGTGATAAATTTATTGAAAAGGTATTAAATTTTATCACCTCCCCAATAGCAATGAGTGGAAATTTAATAACAATATTCAGTTCCATCTTTGGCCGATAACAAAATGTAACAACTCTATTACTCCTAGTTTAGAAAATTATTAACAAATAAGAACTTAATCATCAAATATTAAAAAATAATACACTTATAGAATTATAGTTATTTTCAATGACATTATTATATTAAATACCTATCAAAACTAATTCTCATAATATACTCAATCAAATAACATTATTTAATTATTGTCCATATAATCGTGTCATTTTAATGAGAAACTAAAGCCGGGACAGTATAGATTTTATACGAAGCATAATATATTGATGTATGTGGTATATATTATTGTTGTTGTTATTAGAGTGTTGTTGTTGTTGTTGTTGTTGTTGTTTGATGTGTGTTTTCTTGCACTTAAAATGGTTGTAGAAAAGTGGTTGAAAGTACGAGTATCGTCTCCACAGGGACGGACAAAAGGGAATTAAAGATTAACTAAATTCAGCGATTAACAAGAAATAAATCAAAATAAAATGCAATTGTGCGAGATTGGTTGATTGAATAAAATAAAACTAATGCTAATGAGCAAATAAAAAGATTGAGTTTTTCCTTAATTAACGATGAAAGGAACGGGAATTTATTCCGGGGTTAACCAGATTTCTGGCTGAACAGGCCTAATTACATGAATTTAATTTAATTGAGCCTAGCTAATCATTACTAAGTTCTTACCGCTCTCGCGGCATAGAGTACAATAATTTAGGGGACCAGGCTGATCTCTCATGCGATAGGATCCTAAATTATTACCAAGACGAGCGAGCTTACGGCCCCTTAATCGCTACTAATCTCTTAGCGAACAATTAAGTGTGTGTGAATGTGTCCTAGAACAAATTAGATCTCTCTTAATTCATTCTACATGCAATTGTAATTCTAGTCGCGATTCTAGGTTACAAAAGATATCAGTTAAATTATTCAAACACAAATTAAACGACATTCATGCAATTAAACCGAAAGGAATCTAGCCATACATCATGATTAACCCTTTCATCAACTCCAAATCCCTAATTAAAGTACTCACGCCTCATAATTGACGAATCAACAGAATTGGGATGAATAGAATAAATTGTCATTAATTAAAAGAATTGAACTTGCAAAGAATCCCAGGTTCTCAAAGTAAACAACGTAAAAACGCAGGTAAAACTCGTCCTAGGCCTCTCCACAAAGTTCGTAACCCCTCAAAAGGGGTATGGAGGTCTTATTTATAGAAAACGGGGGAATTTGAGCTGTATTAGGACAAAACGGGGCCAGGCACGACGCCAGGCATGATCGTGCCTGGGACCGTGCCTGCGGAGCATGCGCGCGTCTCGATTGGAGGCACGATCGTGCCTGGCCAGGACACGATCGTGCCTGGCT